ACAGTGGCAGCATTTGAAAATCATCACAATGGTCTTCGCAATGGAGTTAGTATGTAGCTTTTTTTTTTTTTCGGGTTACCAGTACCCAAAACTCAGTTTCTTCACATTCTATACTAGTCATCTGTTGATATATATAGTGCGAAGTGAATGTGGATTTAGATGGGTAACTTACACGTTACGCTATGTGTACTAATTTTACTAGTAAACAAGTTTAGACAAGCCCTTCTGTATTTGTGTATCTAAGAGATCCCATTAATTTCTTATTCATCGTTTTTGCAGTGTTATTTCTAGGAATATGCACGTTCTTTGAGTTTCTATGCATTCTGCTATATGCATATTCCTTCCCTAAACTGCCAATTGTGAAGTATTTCCGTGCCAAAGCTGCCTCAGAAGATCAAAAACAGTTTCAGCTGATCTCGCAGCTGCGGAATCCAAACAAAACCAGATCAAGTATTTTTCCAATTTTCATGAAGTTTATTATAATTTTATGTACTCAATGTTTGAAGAAGTTTTCAGATACAAAGCAATAATAGCTTTTGGAATTCTTGTAGGACGTAGGTGAAGCTATGCAAAGGAACGGTTGAGCAATAAGCAACTATTCTTCCAAAATATATTACGCACTTGACTTGTTTCTGATATATGTGCTGACATTGTCCATTTTTTCCTGGCTTCTTATATGAAGATACTGGACATCACCAATTAGGCGACACCTGGTAAGTGTTCTTCTATAGCGTCTTCATTCGATTTGAAACTTCCAAAATTTTATAAATCAATCGGCTTAACTTTGCTGGTGATGTATTCTAATTTTGTTCAAGAATTGGAAGGACTAGAAGCAAATGTAGAATCCATTATCCTCTTGTTGGAATTATGGAATATTTTAAACAATTTTACAGAGATATTTTCACATGGCTGGTGGTCCTTTAGGTACCCGCTTGTCCTTGTCGCATCATACAATGTGTGTGATCTGATATCAAGATACATCCCTCTAGTAGAAGTCTGAAGTTGGAGTCCAGAAAGGGCCTTATGATTGCAATTCTGGCTCGTTTTCTTACTTGTTCCTGCATTCTACTTCACTGCAAAATATGCAGATCAGGGATGGATGTCACACTCACTTCCTTCTTAGGCCACAAATGGTTATCTAACTGTGTGTGTCCTTACAATAGCACCCAAAGGTTACAAGGTTAGTTTACTTCACACTCCATCCTAAATGTGCAATGAATCTAAAATTTCCAATTCCTCCAAATAAAATGTAATTGGAATCTGGTTTGTAGGACCTGAGCAAAATGCATTGGGGAATATACTCGTGTTCTGTCTATTAGGTGGCATATTTGCTGGAGTTGCTCTTGACTGGCTGTGGCTCATTGGTAAACAAAGCTTTTAATACTGTAAGAATTGATACAGTCACAGATCAAAACAATCCTCAACCTTGTTGGATTCTTGTAACTATGATCCTCTGAATGTAATTAGATATTTATTTTTGTTTTAGTTTTATTATAATTGTTTAAATTGAATGGCACATGAATTGACCTGAATATCTCATTGGCTGTAACTGCACTGTCCGTATAGTGGCTCCACGTAAGCAGGCTGCTTTCAAGTTGGACCTTATTTTAAGTTATCGAGACATATGGTAGGTAAAGACAGTTTGATTAGAATAGTAATCAATTATTATGAACAGTTAATTTATTAGTACAAATAATAATTCCAATGTGGCATGTGCACAATTTCAACAAATTAATTCCATTGTCTTATTATGAGATTTGATTCTCATCAATAACATAATATCATATAAGCTCTTCACGCAAGTGATCAAATATGTTTTTAATATTTTTTATCTTTTGATTAAATAATAGGTCACGACAAAGATGGTTGACCTTATTATTATCATCATATAAGTCATTATTATGAAGATTTGATTCTCATCAATAACATAATATCATATAAGTATCTTCACGTAAGTGATCAAATATGTTTTTAATATTTTTTTATCTTTTGATTAAATAATGGGTCACGACAAAGATGGTTGACCTTATTATTATCATCATATAAGTCATTATTATGAAGATTTGATTCTCATCAATAACATAATATCATATAAGTATCTTCACGCAAATGATCAAATATGTTTTAATATTTTTTTTTTCTTTTGATTAAATAATGGTCACGACAAAGATGGTTGACCTTATTATTATCATCATATAAATATTTAGACAAGTATCAACCGTTGAAAAAATAAAATAAAATTTAGCTTTAAAGAAAGAACCTTATCTTAAAAAAGGGTCTCCAGCATCAAGTTGTGATCTTCCATGAATCTTTAACGTCTTGTGTAAACTTTAATTTAGAAAATTATAAAATAATGAACTTGATGTTGAAGCTTTTGCATTTAATATTAAATTGTGTTTGCTATTCAGGCAAGTTAAGAAAGGACATTCATCATTGCGTCTTTGTAACTCCTCTCAGCCCGAGACGAAAGTACTTAAAATAATTTCATATATCAATTTTTGTCATTATGAATTTATTTATTATTTAATGATCAAAATATTCAGATCCGTTTGTCATACCTTAACTAATCTTTAAAATCTATTAAACATTTTATAAATTAATATTTTAAAAAATAAATTATAAATATGTAATAGGTGACTTCAAAATGATTTGAACTAAAAAAATATCTTAACTAATCTTCAAGATCTATTAAACATCTTACAAATTTAATATTTTAAAATAAATTATAAATATGTAATAGGTGACTTCAAGGTAATTTGAACTAAAAAAATCAACGAAAAAATCAAAACCTTCTTGACCAGCGGCCAATCAATCCTTTGGGATTGAATTCATTTATTTGTTTCAAAGTTATTTTAAGTTTTGTCCTCTCCCACCTTATATTTGAGATATATAACGTTGCTAATATTTGACAAGGGGTTCTTTGTTTTTATTTTGTATAAGAAAATATTAAGTGAGATTGAGATATATTTGTAATAAGTAATGCTAGTTTTACAAGACACATATAAATGAGGCATATAAAGACAATCCACACCCTCTCTTTCTCTCTCTGTCTCTCTCTTTTTTTTCGTTTTTTCTTTATTTTTTTTTTCTGGATGATGTCACTTTGTAACCCTCTTTGTATGGATCTTTGTAAGGATAGTATTTTTCATTTGTAATATATTAATAAAAAAAATTCCCGGACAGCAAGCCATACCATACCACACTTCCCAGCTAAGATTGCAGTCTTTTGTAAACTTCCAACTCAACTTTACACTCAACCCTCCACCAATCATATCCATTTTAATAATATAAAAAACATTATACACGTGATTACACACCACACTACGAGTCCGCCCCATTGTTTTTAAACTCAGACCGAAGGGCAACTCGTTCTACTGCCCGGGTCACGGGTCGATCGGTCCAACCGATTGGATCGATCGGTTGGACCGATGATGTCATTTTGTTGACGTCAACACTTCCAAAAAAATCCAGATTTTTCATTTTTGAACAAGTTTCAAATTTTCAATAACTACTTAATTACTGCACCAACATGATTCAAATTCAATAATAATCCAAACATGATTTACCAACAATCCCAACATACAATTTAATATGTTATAGCTCCACCAAAAATTTATACTTGACAAATTTTTTTGTAGATTACAACATGCCTGAAATGCGGAAACAGAATGCTATTACAAAAGGCACCTTAACTTTTAATTTAAGCACTATATCTCTTTATTCTCAGGATTGGGCACATCTGAGTTATTCAACCAAAGAGAGAAAACACAAATAATCTGAGTACCTTCAAATTATCTTCCAGATTCGAGTAAAATAATTCTGCAACTTCCAATCAAATAATCAAAACAAAACTTCAAAATCTGGAGGATTCTGCCAAAAAAAGAAAAAATCAACTTCCAATCAAATAAACCAAGCATTATAATCAAAACAAAACTTCCAATCAAATAATCAAAACAATACTTCTGAATCCAGAAAAAGAGAATCAAATAAACCAGATGTACCTTCAATTGTCGTCGTCGTCGATTTCCAGTGAGGGAGGGAGGCGTTGTTGTCGTCGAGCAAGGAAGGAGGCGTCATCGTCGTTGTCGAGCAAGGAGGGAGGCATCGTCATCGAGGTCGAGCAAGGAGGGAGGTGTCGTCATCGTCGTCGAGAAAGGAGGGAAGTGTTGTCGTTGATTTTCAACGAGGGAGGGAGGTGTCGTCAATTTTAGAGAGTGGAGTTATGATTAAGACAATGGTTGCGATTTCATACTTCAGAGAGCGGAGTTGATTGAGATTGAGGGGTGATTTAAAAGAGTGGCTACGAATTTCAGAGAGTGGTTGCATGGAGAAACTGAAAAATGATTAAATTTAGGGCTTTTTTTACTTGTGAAATAGTGAATCGGTTTATCAGGTAGTCCGATTGGATCGGATGGTTTACACTGTTCACCCGATCTATTGGCGAGTTAAAGCGGCTTTTTAAGTATAAACGAGTTTTATATAAACCTGGATTGGACACACAACTGGGTCTCGATCGAACCGGTTAAATCGACTAGTTCGATCCGGTTTTAAAACATAGGTCCACCCCTCAATGGGTTGGATTTTTTAGCAGCAATATTGGAGTACCCTTTCCTTTTGGTACGAAATCTGGACTTCATTATTATCCATGTATATACTTTATTATACGCATTCCAAGGTTCATAATTTTTTATGTGGCTCAAAAATTAAAAACTTAAAATAAGATTTGGATTTGCATTCATAGTTCATACAGATACAGGATAAGAATTCTATCCAGCTCAGTTCGGAATCAGACCTGAAAATTGAAATCACCATCTCTAATTTTGCTTATTGCCAGATTTGATCATTAATGCAAATTTCTAAAATTGTGTTGAAAATAGTAAATACAGCTATCAGACCGACTGACAACTTTGTTTGTTTGTTCCAATTGGCCTTTCCCTCTATTTTTATGCCATGGAATCATGGATAATGGATTGGATTGGACATCTTTTCCCACATTATTAACCTAACTAATTAGATCACCCTTACTCTTAACAATTATATCACTAACTGCCAAAAAATTTCTTACCCAGAAACAATGTTCTTGGCCTTAGATTCAGATAAAATTTAACCAGGCAGCATTACTTGACTAGTATATTTGTATATGTAAGCGTTGAAAGTCATAGTCTTCCTCCAAGATTCTTTTGATACTCTTTCCCTTTTTTCATTTTTCCTCCTTTCTTGTTCGGTCTTAACTATCAATCGTTACATCAACCAACCAATTTTCAGGAATCTTTAACCTTTTCCTTTAAACTATTAGTATCTGCGCTCATTTCTGCATTCACACTTGTAGTTCCACCCATCCTTTGAAGAATAAAGGTAAGTCATCATAATCATCCCTTCTCTTTCTGTTTTTAATGTTTTTCCGTGTTCCCATGTTAGTGTGGTGTTCTCAATAGTATTATATAAACTAATCTACTCTGTTCTCAAACTAGTTGTATCAGTGTTTGATATTGTTGTTCTTCGAAGCCGCTTTTAGTCACCAATCCAGAGCAAGTGAGCATTTTGGTTCCTTGTGTGTTAGTTTTGCATATTTCTCAGTTGTAGTGTATCATTTTCAATGTAATCATGCTGTGATAAGTTATGATAGTTTTGCTTTTGCATGTCTGTAATATGTTTTTGATAGAGCATTCGATAAGATTAAGTCAACTCCAGTGTAAGGAGTCAGAACTTGGATACTTATTATTAGAGTCTATATGGTTACATTACTAACCTTGGATGAATGATATTATAGGGAGTAACCATGACTATTGCTATTGAAACTGAGACGCCAGCAAGGCTTGAGGTTTGTGGTGAAATTGTGTTTGATTTTTTGATGATAAAAAATGTGAAATTACTTTCATTTAGTGAAGTTAAATATGATGTTCATTCTATTTCTGCATTAACCAGGGAAAGTATAAAGCAATGGCAGTTTGTTGGATTCTTGGGCTAGGGTCCCTTGTCTCATGGAACAGTATGCTAACAATAGGAGATTACTATGGCAACTTGTTTGAGGTAGGTAGTACATCAAGACTTCTATGAATTTATTTGGTTAAGAATTGAATAATTGTTGCTTCTTCTTTTTCGAACTTGGACTTCTTTCAAATTTAGAAAAATGTATTGTTTAGTCCTAGGTGCCTGATTCCTGGTTTGATGACTCTCTTTGAAGAAATACCATCCTACAAGGGCACTTACCCTTGTTTATCAACCATTTGCGCTTGGTACAATCGCGATTCTAGCATACAATGAATCCAGGATTGATACTAGACTGAGGAACTTGGCTGGTTACACTATTTTCTTTTCAAGTACTTTGGCTCTCCTTCTTGTAAGTTCTACTGAGGCTTCTTTCTTTACTTTTTCCAGTCTATTCCATTTGTATCTCACAGTTTTTCTGTTCCCACCAATGATTTCTGATATTGCTTTGAGGCAGTTGGATTTAGCCACGTCAGGTAAAGGAGGGGTTGGACCTTTTCTTGGTATATGTGCAATTGTTGCTTGTTTTGGAGTTGCAGATGCCCATGTTCAGGGTGGAATGGTTGGTGACTTATCCTTCATGTGTCCTGAATTCATGCAGGTTGATATTCTTGTCTCAGTTTTTTGAATGTTCTTTTTCAAACCGGTCCTAAATACATTTTCAAGAGAAATTTCCATCATAGTACACTTTGATTTTCTATTCTGCAGTCTTTTCTAGCTGGTTTGGCCGCATCAGGAGCTCTAACCTCAGCTTTGAGGCTAATAACAGTGGCAGCCTTTGAAAAATATCAAAATGGTCTTCGAAATGGAGTTAGTATGTGATTTTCGGTTTGTACTCATTTTTCATTATTCAATGATTAGTTTTGCATTTTGCTTTTAGCAGTCCATAAAAATTAGCTTTTGAACAACTGAAATGTTCATCATATGCTTTAAACTCTGTGTGTTAAATTTACTAGCAAGCAAGTTCAAGCAAAACTACCGCACATAAGTTTCCATATAAGAGAGGTCCAATTTGATACTACATTCTACTAAATAAAATTTAGAGTCATTATAAATTTTCCAGATGCTATATAAATATCTTTTTGTCATTTTTGCAGTGTTATTTCTAGCAATATGCACCTTCTTTGAGTTTCTATGCATTCTGCTATATGCATTTCTCTTCCCTAAACTGCCAATAGTGAAGTACTTCCGCTCCAAGGCTGCCTTAGAAGGATCGAAAACAGTTTCATCTGACCTTGCAGCTGCTGGAATCCAAACAAAAGTAGGCCAGGTTGTTTGCACTTCTTGTGAACTTTCTTGTTATCTTATATACAGAATGATAAGGAATTTTATAGAAAGCCACTACAATAGCTTTTGGAATACCTGCAGGCTGAAGATGAAGGTTTGCAACAGCAACGATTGAGCGTTAAGCAACTATTCTTCCAGAATATAGATTATGCACTTGACCTGTTTCTGATATATGTGCTGACATTGTCCATTTTTCCTGGTTTCTTATATGAAAATACTGGACATCATCAGTTAGGCGACACTTGGTAAGTGGTCTTCTATGGCAAAACAACCTCTTTTTGTTTACTTGACAGTAATTATTTAGTTTCAAATAATTGTTGGATGAGTATACTTTATTTTTGTAGATTTTAAATGAAGTAAGCATCGAAAAAAAGTTTTCTTTCTGTCTCTTCATGTCTTTTGATTGCATGCCTACCTCAAATCCCTTATCAAACTTTTACCTAATGCCTTACAAGAGTTACAAAATTTCACTACAGTCAATTATCCACAATCATATTATATTTGAGGTTTATCATTATGTTTAATACTTGCTCTTCTATGCTTATAAATGCAGCAATGTGATGAAGTTGCCTCAATATCTAAATTTTTTTTGTCATAAAATGTTGAATTGTCTCTATCCAAGCAGCAATGTTAACTGCAGAAGCAGTTTCCATTTTCATTGAAACTGCAATTGTTAACCACATCAGCATATATTTTTGTTGTGCTGTATTCTTGATTTGATTAAGAACTGAAAAAGGACTAAAAGCCATAGCTGGTGATCTTTCAGGTACCCACTTGTTCTAATCGCTTCATACAATGTGTGGGATCTAATATCAAGATACATTCCCCTTGTGGAATGCCTGAAATTGGAATCAAGAAAGGGCCTTATGATTGCAATTCTCACTCGTTTCTTACTAGTTCCTGCGTTCTACTTCACTGCAAAATATGCAGATCAGGGATGGATGATCATGCTCACTTCCTTCTTGGGACTCACAAATGGTTATCTAACTGTGTGTGTCCTTACAGTAGCACCCAAAGGTTACAAGGTTAGTTTACTTCATGCTCTGTCATAATTGTGCAATGAAGCTAAAATTTCGCATTGGCTCCTAATAAAATGTAATTGGGATGTTGTTTTCGTAGGGACCTGAGCAAAATGCCTTGGGAAATATTCTTGTGTTATGTCTATTAGGTGGCATATTTGCTGGGGTTGCTCTGGACTGGCTGTGGCTCATCGGCAAAAAACAAGGCTTTTAATAAGCAGAGTCTATCTTGTTACTGTCAAGAAGTTGATACAAGTTACAGATTTAGGGGAACATGACATTGTAGTTATGCATTTGTCATAGTGTCAGGCAGAGTAGCACTATGTAGAAGGTCAACAAAAAAGTTGCCATGCCACATCTCAATCGCCAAAGAATATGTTGTAGATAAATCTTTACCCATCTTGTACTCCTAGCAACCAATTACCCTCTGAAAGTAATTTAGATCTTTACGAAGCAATTGATCTGCTTCTTTCTTTGTTTTCTTTCACTTGCTTTAAAGGACGTAAATTTATTTGTGACAGTAGCTCTACGGCACTGCCGTGTATCCGCAATTGAATTTCATTTGCGCATGTCAAAACGGAGCCCCTTTGACAAACCATGCAATCAGTCAATTTTTACAATCAATGTGTGATAATCATGTCTATTGAAGGAGCCATGTTTATTCCAATAATTTACAGAGTGGTGCCTATTATATTTTGAGGTCTTAAAGAGGTAAAATATGTAGGTGTAAAATCACTTTTGGCAAAATCATTTTTGCAGTAGTAGTGAAACCAATCTTCTTTGGTCTTTGTTGGATCAAAGATGAGTAGATGTTTGTGTGTCATGAGTCCGTTTTGGCCATGTCGCATTCTTCTCAATTTCAAAATTAATGAACCTCCAACGTTTTAGGATAAACTACCAATATACTTTTTTCTCCTGTGGATAACGATATATGGGTTATTTTAACAGTTTGTGTTCAAAGGTCAACGATTCTTATAAAATTTTCCACTCTTTCTTTTCATACAACTTTTTCTTTAAAACACTTACTCATGCACTCAAGCTTTCCGTATAAAACTTGTTAATCAGAAAACTTGTTAGAGTTCTTGAAGGAAGCTCTCTGGCAATTCTCATTATCTGGGTATCAAAAGGTTGCCTTGTTGCTGCAATATTCTATATTTAACTACCTTGCTTTCTCTTGACTCCAGCCATCTCTATTCATAATATATTAACGTGATGAAAATAATTTCTCATAATCTTAAGTTGTTCTTAACAACACTGGTTTCAGTTCATCCTTTGACAATATATTTTCAAATTTCCCTTGAAGGTTTTCTCTTCCTGGTTGCTTCCCAAAATTTTGCTGTCTCTCCATTGTAAAGACAGATTTTTTGTTTTTGTATCTTTGGCAATATATGTTTCCATATAATTTTCTAAAGATGATGTTATCCACTAACTTCCCAAAATGCCAAAGACTTGTACAAAACCAAGTTCATATATTACTTATCAGGAATTGGCACAAGGAACCTATTCCAGTTGCATGGAAGAAACCTGAATTTGGGTGGACTAAATTAAACTTTGATGGATCATGCAAAGGAGGAACAGGCAAAGGCAGCATTGGAGGAGTCTTCAGAAATCATAAGGCTGAATTTTTACTTGGTTATTCAGAATCCATAGGAAGAACCACAAGCACCATTGCCGAATTGGCTGCACTAAGAAGAGGCCTAGAATTGGTACTCGAAAATGGTTGGAACGATGTTTGGCTCGAAGGTGATGCAAAAACATTAGTTGATATTATTGTGCAAAGAAGACAGGTTAAATGTGCAGAAGTGCAGAGGCATATTAGTCAAATAAAATCAATCATACCAGAGATTAAAAATTGCTTAGTCACTCATATATATAGGGAAGGCAATAGAGCTGCTGATAGGTTGGCTCAAATGGGACACCAGTTCAAGAAGCCGCAAGTTTGGCTGCATCCTCCTCATGAAGTTTTGCAAATCATGGATGATGATGCAGAGGGTAAGATTTTTCTTCGAAGGTGATAAAAAAGATTCAGGGTATTATAATTGTTTATGCATATATGTATTTATGTATATATTTTTCATGGCATCCATCTCCTCTTCTGGAGTATGTAGTATATTCAATTGTATAGTGACCAAATTGAATATAAATGTGCGGCTTGTCCGTGTATATGCAAGATAAATAATGCATGTAGCTGACAGATGCAGCTCACTTTTTCTTGAAAAAATTATATACAAGATGAATTAAATTTTAGGCAACCCATAAGGGAAAGCAAAAACAAAAAAATAAAATAAAATAAAAGCTTTAAAACCTTTCAATTATCAGATAATCCATATTCAATTCTCCTTGGAGATTAAATTGTTCTGCACAAAATTCTAGTTCTAGGCATGGCCAAATTTCAAAAATTCAACAGATTCGAAATAAATACAAGTTGGAGATATAGCAGCATTCTCACCTGGGCATTTTTGTAATGCCATATGGATTTCGAGAGGAATTTGCACTATGTCATTCTTTCCCATATATATTCTATATGCATAATTGATCCTAAAGCAATGGAGTTATATCTTCAATATTAATTGAATATTTGGCAACTAAGTTGTACTGTTGGACCTACTAATCAAATGATCCTACCAGGAAGTTGTTTGATACAATCACCTGCAATCAAACTCAATCCACAACCAACCAGCAATAATACTCACGCAGGAAATCAACACACAACCAATCGACAACAACCAACACACAAGAAACACACTCTGTAGTCTCAGCAATACTTGTATTAATCAGATAACAGAAAAACAAATGAATTCAGATGATATTGGAATGAAAGGAAACTGTAACCATAAACCCTTGCGTTTCGAGGATCCAGGAACCTCCACTGTTTATCATGAAAATTAAGCTGAAAACTACTGCTACTTCTCTACTTGTTTATATACTATCCCCTTTCCACAATTGCCCTTACTCACACAAATCATATTCTCCTAACAGACTCCTACCCATGACACCTGTGATTTGTGGACCCTACCCTTTAACAACCTCCTTAATGTCTATTACGCCCCTTAAGGGTGTACACTTTATGCACTGCCGGTTTATCAATACCTACCACCCCCCTTGAAGAGTCACCTTGTCCTCAGGGTGAAACTGAGGAAACTGCATTTTAATCACTTCAAATGGTTCCCAGGTGGCTTCAAACTCAGGTAAATTATGTCATTTGATGAGAACCTCCTTAGACCCATCTAATAGAGTACGCACAGAGAGAATAGCGTCTGGCTGGACCAATAAATCCAGGTCTTCAGAGAGTGATTCCGGAAGGGGTTGGATGGGCACCGATTGATGTAAACTCTTCTTGAGCTGAGAAATATGGAAGACAGGATGAATACGGGCTATGGGAGGCAGATCCAATTTAAAGCCACTGGTCCAATTCGTTCCAAAACAGTGTAGGGACCATAGAAACGGGGACTGAGTTTTTCATTCAATTTCCGGGCAAGGGACTTAAACCTGTAGGGCTGTAGCTTCAAAAAAACTGAATCACTAGGCTAGAAGCACTCGTCTCGCCGATGAAGGTCAGCATTGTGCTTCATGTGAGCTTGAGCCATAGCTAAATTATCCTTAAGCTCCTTTAACATGGAATTTCTTTCAATCATTTGGACATTGATATCTTCCACGGCTGAAGGGCAGTCTGTGAATTTTAAAAGGGTGGGGTGGTCTCATCCATAGAGGGCCTTAAATGGAGTCATTCGGATGGAGCTGTGATAGGTTGTGTTATACCAGTATTCTGTCCAAGTAAGCCACTTAGGCCACTGTCGTGGCTGAGAACTGCAGAAACAGCGGAGATATACCTCGAGGCACCTATTGACCGCCTCCGTTTGCCCATCTGTCTGTGGATGGTAAGCCAAACTAAATTTCAGAACAATGCCGGCAGCCTTGAACAATTCCTGCCAAAATTGACTCATAAAAAGTTTGTCTCTGTCAGAAACAATGGAGTTAGGGAAACCCTGGAGCCTGACTACTTCTTTAACAAATATGGCAGCCACATCCTTTGCATTGTAGGGGTGACCGAGACTAAAAAAATGGTTGTACTTGGAGAGGCAGTCAACGACTACAAAAATGGTATCCACTCCTTTTGAACGTGGCAGTCCCCCGATAAAGTCCATAGAGAGATCCTCAAAAACCTGATTTGGAATGGGCAGGGGCTGGAGGAGTCCGGCTGGTTTTAATGATGATTGTTTATTTAGTTGACAGGTAGTGCAGGCCTTAATAAAGCGTTGTATATCTCCCCGAATACCCTCCCAATAAACTACCGAAGAGACTCTCTTGTATGTTCTGAAGAAACCCGAGTGACCTCCACTAGGACTCTAATGAAACTCAGCCAGTAATGTGGAGACAAATCTGGACCCTTTTGGAATAACCAGCTTGTCCTTATAGAACAGGCAGCCCCTGTAGAGATGGTAGTTAGGTCGACTAGAAGAATCAAGGAGAAGGTCCTGTATGATTTCCCTGAGTTTCAGATCTGTTTGTGCCTCCGATGCCATGTCCTCATACTCCAAAAACTGTACCGCAGATAAGGCCGTAAGGTTGGCCAATTCAGTCCCGTCTTCCCTTCTTGAAAGAGCGTCTACTACTCGGTTGGAAGCCCCTGGATAGTACTGAATTTCAAAGGTAAAACCCATCAGCTTCGACATCCATTTGTGTTGCTCTAGGGTTTTTTATCTTTGGTCTGTTAAAAACTGGAGGCTGCACTGATCAGTCTTAATTATGAATTTTCTACCAAGCAAATAGTGACTCCATTTCTTGACCGCAAAGACAATGGCCATCCATTCTCGCTCGTAAACTGATTTTAGCTTGGCTGTAGAGGAGAATGCCTTATTGAGGAAGGCTATAGGTCGAGACTGCTGTACCAAAACAGCCCAAGACCTCTTCCAGATGCGTGTGTCTGAATTTCAAACGGAAGTGTGAAATCTAGAACTACTAAAACTGGAACAGTAGTCATGGCTTCCTTGAGCCTATCAAAAGCCACTTGTGCCGAATCATCCCAAGTGAAGGAGTCTTTTTTCAGTAGCTGAGTGAGGGGTTGTGCGATTGAACCATACCCTTTTATGAATCTCCGGTAATAACCTGTCAGCCTTAGAAATCCTCTCAATCCCTTCACATTCACAGGTCACGGCCAGGACACCATGGCCTCAATCTTTTTCGGATCTGCCTCTACTCCACTTTCCGAAACCAGGTGACCCAAATACTCCAGCTTAGATTGGCCAAACGAGCATTTTTTCTTATTAACAACCAGCCGATGTTCCTGCAAGATCTGAAATGTTAGTTGTAAATGCTGGATGTGTGTGGAGATGCTGGGGCTATACACAAGGATGTCATTAAAGAAGACCAAGATGAATTTACGGAGGACAGGCCTAAACACTAAGTTCATTAAAGCTTGAAATGTTGAGGGCGCATTAGTGAGTCCGAAAGGCATCACAAAGAACTCGTAATGCCCCTCATGAGTGCGAAAGGCTGTCTTGGGAACATCAACCTCTCGCACCCTAATTTGATGGTATCCTGACTTTAAATCCAATTTTGTGAAGATCGTTGCCCTGGCCAATTCATCAAGTAACTCTTTAATGGTCGGTATTGGGAATTTATCAGGTATTGTAATGTCGTTTAATGCCCGGTAATCCACACAAAATCGCCAACTCCCATATTTCTTTTTGACTAATAGGACAGGGCTAGCGTACGGGCTAACACTAGGCTAGATAATC